GATGAGTGTAAGTCTACCTCCAAAGGATAGGTATTGCATTTTCCAGGAAGCCAGTTTCCTTTCAAATTTTTCAATCACTTCATTCCATATGCCTTGAGACTTGTATCTAGCTCCCAATGAGAGCCCCAAATATGATGTAGGGAAAGATCTCACTTTACAGCACATAACCTCTGCAAGCTCATCCAGATTTGGGACTGTGTTAACCGGATAGATGGTGCTTTTTAGCATGTTCATGTGTAGGCCTGAAATAGCTTCAAAGATCATTAGCGTGAGATTAAGATATAGAACTTGTGAATTTTCAACTCCAAAAAATCAGAGTGTCGTCTGCATATAGAAGATGCGACACTATCACAGAATTGCCCTCTTCATTGCCCACCTTAAAACCCTCTAGCCAATGGAGCTGGTTAGCTTTGTCTAACATTTTGCTTAGGCCTTCCATAGCAAGAATGAACAAAAAAGGTGATAGTGGATCTCCCTGTCTGAGTCCTTTTTGGGGAGAGAAAAACCCAGTAGGTCCACCATTAATTAAAATTGAGTACTTCACTGTTGAAATACAAAATTTAATCCATCTAATCCAATGTTCTCCAAATCCCATCTTCCTGAGTAAATTAATCAAGTACGCCCAATTGAGTTGGCCAAATGCCTTTTCAATGTCAAGTTTGAAAAGTAGACCAGGTTGCCCAGACTTCATCTTCCAATCTAATATTTCATTGGCTATTAGAGTTACATCAGTGATCTGCCTTGATTTGATGAAAGCATTTTGATGTCCTGAAACTAGCTTCCCTATCACCCCTTTCAACCTCTGTGCTAAGATCTTGGAGGCTATTTTATAAACACTACCAATCAAGCTGATTGGTCTGTAGTCCCTCAATTCAGTGACTCCTTTCTTCTTAGGGATTAGAGCTATAAACGAGGCATTACAGGACCTGACTAAGTTGCCATTCTGGTGAAAATAATGAAGTGCACCCATGATGTCATTCTTTACTACCGCCCATGATTTCTGGTAAAATGCCATGGTGTAACCATCTGGACTTTTTGCTCTCAATCTCTTGGGATCGGTGGCTATCTCAGGTTCTTCACCACCCTTCAAAGAATTCTTTGCATGTAGTTGTGAGGAGGCCATATCGATGATTGTAATTGATTCTTTTCCCAGATGAGAGTTTGAGTACTCAGATTGTTCAAGTTGATGGGATTGTTGATTCTCATCTATTACCCGTATGTGATTAGAAAAAAAGCCTTTGACTCTCCATTAGGATATTTGTGGTGGGACTTTTTTATGTTTTTGGGCTTTGTGTTTTGGGCCTTTAGAATAATAGGAAGTATCTATGTTTGGGCCCTTTAAATGAAGGCTCTTTGAAACCCTAGATCTGCTAGTTGAGGGACCCCCAGAATAATTTTGGGGCTTTGCATTAACTGATGGTACAAAGGAAGAGTCTAGGTTTGGGTCCTTTAAATGAAGGCCCATAGAAACCCTATATGTGCTAGTTGAGGGACCTACAGAATAATCTTGCGGCTTTGCATTAACTGATGGTACAAAGGGTTCAGAGATTTTTGAATTAAAGTGAGGCTTCTCCACCTGCCCACCCACGTGCTTGTGACCAGAAAGGGGAACTGCAGGATACGAGGTCTCGACATTTGCAGCTACCGGAAAAGCACCACTGGAACAGCTCTGATCAAATTTTCCGGCAAATCTAGGTGTAGCAAAAACTTCATCCACCAAAGAGATTTCGAACTTCCATTCTCCTATATCAAGATTAATCTTACCCGGTGTTTTGGCTTCAGTGTTCCTTATGCACATCCTAGCCCAGAGAAGATGATTGATATGTTTTGTATCTTCATCAACCCCAACAAAGCCACCACAAAATTCACCAATAGTTTTAAAAGTATCCAGTGACCAAGCATGAAGCGGGATGCCGAATGCTTTGATCCATCTGAGTTCTGACCTCTTGCTTGCAAGGTCTGTACCGGCCACCGGTGTCCACCACTCCAATGACAACCGTCTTCCGTTCCAATGCCATCCACCCACATTGATTCTCTCAGCTTCTTCTCTTGAGGGAAACTGAAACAAGAATCTATTACGAGAGATTGGTATAATTTTGAGACTAGAGCAAACTTGCCATCTATTAGTGAACCATTTGTGTAACACCTCTGATTTTGGGCTGTAGCTAAATGGGTCATTGAAGTAGCCAATCATACAACTCTGCAAAAAAGTTTCTCTCGCCTTTAACTCAGAACATGCTGGCCGAGTCACTCCCTTGTCCGGCTATTGATATATTCTGGGAGCTTCAACAAAAGGCTTTGTGTGGATATCAGCAAAATGATTGATTTTACTGTTTGAAGGTTCCCCCAGGAATCTCAATATCTTGTCTGCAATATCTCTCCAGCCCCTGTTATGTTCATCTTCCGGAACAATGATTGCCTTGTTTCTATCTCCCACCCAAGTTTCACTTCTGACAAAACGGCCATAACTGTTAAAGTTCTGATACACTCTGTAAATGTATGTTTGAACCTTCCTTCCACAACGTCTATATAAGTTCCCTGTACCCTTGGATGCTAGAGCAACAGATTCACAAACCCAGCGCAGATTCTCTTCATCAATGTAGATATTGCTTGTAAATCTCCTGTTCCTTTCTATCGTTGTAAACCATCTAATTCGTCCTTCATAACTCCCTACCAATTCGAATGATTTAGAGCCAGATGTGAAGAAAGTTCTTTCCCCCATGTTTTGAAATCACCGGTGAAGATTTACACATGTTTCAGAAGAGAGAGGGAAAGAGAAAGAGGAGAGAGGTGAGAGAAGAGAGGAGAGAGAAGAGAGCATTTTTTCTGGACCACTTCTTACTTGTTACAAACGAAAAAGTTTTAACTACTATAACTACTCTGACCTCTGTTCTCCTCGTCACAACTGATACGTACCAGGTACTGAAAATTATGCTCACCAAGGGGACTAAATCCATTTGACACATTCACCACCTGCTCAGCTACATTTTGGACTCCTTTCATGGCAGATTTTCTCCTTGCAAGTTGCCATTGGCAGATTGGAATCCTTTGTGACTTGGGTTACCTTCTCTACCTATACTAGTTGATCACCTTTTGTGGCTTCCACCTGTGTATCCGCAATCTTCTAAGGCTTCTTTATCCAAGCTTGTTTTGGGTTTGTATTCTTTGTCTTTGGACCTATGGCTGGAGGCTGTTTTTGCACTGGTTGACAAGTGTGGCCAACCCGTAAGCAATGAGGACAGTATGTTGGTACCCAATCATACTCCACTTCTTGTTCAAATATCATCCCATTTGGATCTAACATCTTGATCCTAGCTGGTAATTCTCTGGTAACTCTATTTCAATTAAGATCCTAGCATACGAAATCCGTTCTACTTTTGTTGTAGCCTCATCAGCATATAGGGGAATCCCTAACCCACTCCCAATTCTGCTCAGTGAATCCATTCCCCAACAGCTTAGGGGAAGATTTGGGAATTTAGCCCATATTGGAACAGTTTGTAGTACTTCAGCCTGAAAATCAAAACCTGTTGTCCATGGTTTTATAATTATTGGCTTGTTGCTGATTGTGTATGGACCTGAGTAGAGTACCTCGTCCCTGTCTTCCATGCAATTGAACCTCACTACAAAGTACCCATCATTGTGATAGAAAACTTTTGGTTTCGAGGAAAAGTTCCAATGCGCTGAAATAAACCTCTCAAGAGCTCCAATGGTCGGGGTATCACCTACCACATACAGTATCAATGCTTGCCTCCACTTTGCATTTTCCTTTTCTATTTCCTCCTTGTTTAGTTCAATAATTTTCTCCCCATCCTTCACAATTAGGGCAACAAAGCTCAAATTCATGTCCCTTGCCGCCATTCTATTACCCACAAATAGGTTTTTCCATTCCTTCATTCCAGTTGGATTAGCTATGGATTTATCCCTCTGAGTGCCCAAAGGTGCTTCCTCCTCTGTTTTGTCCGAATTTTGCATTATAGTGGTATCACCAGGTTTCGTTGCCACCAGATTGTACCCCTTTTTGGTCACACCGGAATTAGGGTTACGATCCATTGATTTCACTAGATTTAAGCATCTCTGAGCACCCGAGACTACATCACCCGCTGACCTGCCCAGATCTAGAGCAGTAGCAGTCGAATTCATCATACCTGAGTTATTCACCTGCATCGCTGTCCGATTCGTTACCAGTTGATTTCCACCACTTTTTCCGGAATTGGGACTCTTGGTCCCTGTGCCTTCCACCCCAGTACTCGTCGAAGTTTGGATCTCCTCCCCCCTAAGCACCAAAGGTGGCCAAGCTTCCTTTGCAGCTCCCAATTGTTCCAATGATGCAATTGCTTCCTTAGCTCCCCCACTCCCTTAACAGCTTCTATCGTCAGCTGCTGAGTTGCCTGAGCCTTTCCCGGCTCCCTCTTTGGTAGCAAAGCACGCTTATTGTACGTCGAGAGGAATTTCTAGAGAGAGAAAAATCCTTTTCTGATTTTAGGACTTTTATTTACCTTAAAACAAACTCTAATTGATTTTCTTATGCTATTTTCCTTATTCTCTGTTGAACCTGTTATATTTCCTTATTTTGAGTGCTACTTGTTGTATTTCCTTATCAAAGAAAATTTTCTAACCAATTAAGTGCCTATGAAGTAATTGCATAAAAAAAGTTCAAGTTCATTCTATATTCAATATTGTGATGGCGACTAGGCCCACAACGACCCGGAATATTAAAACAATTCACCTTATCACAAAACAAAATCACTTGTTCTCCATGATAACGGATGACTAAAGCATAATCAGCAATGGTTAGCAATAGTCGTGAATTTGCAAGTTGTTCAAAAACCTTCTAGGCGCAGCCTCAAAGATAGCACAAGTGTTCCAGACATTTGGAACATGGTGAATTTCTTAGCGATGAACTAACTTTTCCTTGCAAAAGGAAATGTTTTAGAACCATAATGTTATAACATTTCTACCTCAAAACGATTTGGAACAATCAAAAGTATAATGACTCATACCTCCAGAAAAATATCACCGAAGTGGATTTTATCACCAGGTTCAACAAAGAGATCAGCTTTTGCATTGCTTGCTTTGGAAATGATTGACTTCACATCAGGGAGCTTCGTCTGCGAGATTGAATATCATAATGCTTCATAACTCGACAGGGGAATGACAAAACAGTACCAAGCAAATAATCGTTTACAAATGAACTAATCAGTTACCAAATTCAAGAAGATTATGCCCAACCTTGATGAAGCCAGAGCCAGTAACATGATCAGCATGCACATGTGTGTTTATAGCATATATAAGTGTCAATCCCAGTTCTTTAATAAGTGCAAGATCACGATCCGCTGTTTTGTCAACTGGGTCAATCAGCTGCAGTTGGATTACTTACATCAGTCAAATTTTTAAACACAACGGTAGTTCATTTATCTTACAAGACGAGGCAGTGTTAATTAAAAGTTCAACTTCGAAAAATCATGAGTTATATAATTGTAGACAGAAACAAAAGGAAAGGATGCAGCATAGTGGATTTTATGCTATAGTTGACTTTATTTCACCCTAACAAAACATTTAATATGTTTATAAATAAGCTGCACTACCTTCACTATTTTCTTGTTTAACTTATCAATTCATTATCATACGACCCCAGTGGCCTTGCATTCCATAGGAGGGCAAAAAAGACACAAGCTTGAAGATGATTAAACTAAACTTATAAAGGCAAGAAATATAAGTAGTACAACATTTAAGCATGGCATAGAATTCGTTTGAAATCATATAATTGCAATTGAATGAGCAAAAAAGATTACCAGAGCGGGTTTTTGGGGGTGCAAAGCATCAGCAAGAAGGTAAGTATATGTAGATGATTCTTTCTCAAAGAGCTGACGGAACACCAGTTTAGGACAGGACGACGTCGTTGAATATGAACCCATTTGAGTGCGAATGAGAGAAGATGCCCAATGTTGTTTGGGTTTGAAGGAGTGAATTAAAGGGGTATCAAAAGGTGATGCTGTGAAAAAGCGACAACATCGGAATCTCAGAATCATCTTTTGTTGTTGCCGATTATATCAACGTTGAAACCGCAAGATGCGTAACACAGAAGCTCAACTTTTTTCCCCACTTTTTTAAGGTTGTTGGGTGGGGTTATTGATTTGCACGCATCTCTATGATTATTGGCTTTGGGGTTTCAGTCTTTTACACCCATAACAATGTCATCGAAGTATCTTACAACTTCCAATGGGCGCTTGTTTTCACTGTGCCAACTGTCCAACTGCATATTCTCGGCTTCTCATTGGCCTTCAGCAACTGCAAGCTTAGGGCCTAATCTATGGGTGTCTAACGGGCGGGCCGGGCCGAGCTGAGTAGGAAAAATTTAGGAATCGTACGGGTTGGGGTCCGGACCGGTTACGGATTGGAACTTATCGGGTTTATCGGGTTCGGGTTCATTCGGGTAAAAAATGTACCGTAAGGGTTACGGGTACGAGGGGTCGGGCCGGATTAGTGTAATTTTAATTTTTTCTTTTGTATTTTGTATAACTATTGTAAGTTATATTAATATAAAGTAAAAATATAAAGAATACAATGAAGACGGGAAAAAATTGTACTTATAAATTGCAAGTGCTACATTTATTTTAAAATTCAAACTTACAAATTGAAAGGTTTACATTTAACAACAAGTAAATTAACCAAAAAAGAGTAAATTCAAAGGTTTTGTATTGCTTTAGTAAGTTCGTCATAACCAATATGAACTGAGTGCCCTTCTTCTGGAGTGTTAAATTCGGATGGGTTACCATGTGTTAATATATCTCCGAGTTCCTCGTCTTCTGGACTATCAACATATTCACGTCCTTGATTTCTTCGTTCCGATCTAATCCAATCTCCGAAACATACTAAAACTTCCAAAGCATTGCTTCCCAATGAGTGACGGGTGTCTCCAAGTTGTTGTCTTGCTTGGTTAAATGCACTCTCTGATGCAACAGTTGAAATTGGCACATTCAGCACGCCCCCGGCCATAGCGGAAAGAACAGGAAATTGCTTTCCATTCTCATGCCACCATCCCAACAGTGAAAATTCCTTTGTGCGAGGCTCTTTTTGCTTCTGCGGGTAGAATTGAAGTTCATCAATGTTCCTGCTCTGGTTTGAGNGCATCATTGTTAGAAGCATTATCAAAAGACATACACAATACTTTTTGCTTGAGATTATAAAATTCAACAACTTCACAAATAGTAGTACTTATAAATACAGCAACATGACTCTGATCTTCATCATATTTAAAAACGATAATACGTTTTTGCATACAATAATTATCATCTATCCAATGACATGTAATTGTGAAATAATCATTTCCATTAACAGCATGACCAATATCAGAAGTTAGAGAAACTCTACAAGGAATGTGGCTAAACAAATAACGTATGTATGTTTGATATTGTCCATGAAGTCTACAAATATCAGATCTACAAGTACTTCTATAGATACCTTTAAATAAAGGATTGTAAATCCTCTGAATATACATAATAAGATATGATGAAGAAGCAAAAGAAAAAGGTAGACAACCCAAAGCAATCATTTTTGCTAACTCCTCACGATCCTTCATTTTATCATATTTCATAATACCTCCAGTAGTAGGGTTTAGAGTTGCTTGATTTCCATCTCCATCAGAGCCCCATTCTATAGGATGCTCAATTTTCATTCGGGTAAAAAATGGACCGTAAGGGTTACGGGTACGAGGGGTCGGGCCGGATTAGTGTAATTTTAATTTTTTCTTTTGTATTTTGTATAACTATTGTAAGTTATATTAATATAAAGTAAAAATATAAAGAATACAATGAAGACGGGAAAAAATTGTACTTATAAATTGCAAGTGCTACATTTATTTTAAAATTCAAACTTACAAATTGAAAGGTTTACATTTAACAACAAGTAAATTAACCAAAAAAGAGTAAATTCAAAGGTTTTGTATTGCTTTAGTAAGTTCGTCATAACCAATATGAACTGAGTGCCCTTCTTCTGGAGTGTTAAATTCGGATGGGTTACCATGTGTTAATATATCTCCGAGTTCCTCGTCTTCTGGACTATCAACATATTCACGTCCTTGATTTCTTCGTTCCGATCTAATCCAATCTCCGAAACATACTAAAACTTCCAAAGCATTGCTTCCCAATGAGTGACGGGTGTCTCCAAGTTGTTGTCTTGCTTGGTTAAATGCACTCTCTGATGCAACAGTTGAAATTGGCACATTCAGCACGCCCCCGGCCATAGCGGAAAGAACAGGAAATTGCTTTCCATTCTCATGCCACCATCCCAACAGTGAAAATTCCTTTGTGCGAGGCTCTTTTTGCTTCTGCGGGTAGAATTGAAGTTCATCAATGTTCCTGCTACTGGTTTGAGTGTTAGAAAATGTAGAAAAAAATATTAAAACTATCAAGGCCTTCATCATCATCCATAGTAGTAGAAGTGGTACAGTGCATGGTGGGATTAACATTGCCTACATTAAGAGCAGCATCATCAATTACATTTGCATAATAATTATATAACTGTTGTAAAGAATCATTTAGTTTGTTCATACAAGCATATATATATATATATATATATATATATAGTATGGTTGTAGTCGTACATATAAGTATATAAAGCATTCATTAATTGGTGACAATGAGACATCTTAATAGAAGGATTTAAAACAGCACCAATTAAGTAAATCAGAGGAATTAGGAAGACGAATATTTTTGAAATTTTTGCTTGTCATTTTTTTCAACAACATCCCTATATTTTTCTTTCTTCTTAAATTCAAAGAGTAGAAAAGAAATTTCAGCTATATGTACTAAAGCTATAGTAACAGTAGGGTAATATGCTCCAGAAAACTCAACAGTAGTTGTATAAAATTTATGTAAAAATTTACAACATCATTAATGACCTCCCAAGTAGTAGTTGTTAACATACGGTTTGGATCAGTACAATGCGCATTAGCAACTTCAGTTATTGGGAATCTATATTTGTAGCAGCATTTTAAAAATATATATGTATAACTCCATCTAGTAACAATTTCGTCTAGCATGAATCTGGGCTTAAGGTTATGCTCGGTACACTTATTCTTATATTCCCTAATTCTAGATTGTCTATTATTTCCTTGAATAACACCAACTGCTCTTCTAACATGAGTAATCTCGGTTGAAAATAAATCAAGGCCACTTTTAACAATTACATTATAAACATGACATGCACACCTAACATGAAAATTTTAGGCAAGTGGTGGTTGCAAATGCATTTTTAATATTGAAATTGCGGCATCATTGTTAGAAGCATTATCAAAAGACATACACAATACTTTTTGCTTGAGATTATAAAATTCAACAACTTCACAAATAGTAGTACTTATAAATACAGCAACATGACTCTGATCTTCATCATATTTAAAAACGATAATACGTTTTTGCATACAATAATTATCATCTATCCAATGACATGTAATTGTGAAATAATCATTTCCATTAACAGCATGACCAATATCAGAAGTTAGAGAAACTCTACAAGGAATGTGGCTAAACAAATAACGTATGTATGTTTGATATTGTCCATGAAGTCTACAAATATCAGATCTACAAGTACTTCTATAGATACCTTTAAATAAAGGATTGTAAATCCTCTGAATATACATAATAAGATATGATGAAGAAGCAAAAGAAAAAGGTAGACAACCCAAAGCAATCATTTTTGCTAACTCCTCACGATCCTTCATTTTATCATATTTCATAATACCTCCAGTAGTAGGGTTTAGAGTTGCTTGATTTCCATCTCCATCAGAGCCCCATTCTATAGGATGCTCAATTTTCATATGTCTACTAAGTGTCCCAGTCCCCCCTAATTGTCCTCCAGTCTTATGTTTAAAAGTATCATTACAAAGTTTGTATTTAACTCTATCAGTACCTTCTATTTCGTCAAAAAATTTCCAAACCTTGCTTCTTTTTCTCCGATTACTAGTCGGGGCCACAGGTGGTCTACTACTAGCACCACGACCACCACCCCTGCTACCAGCTCCAACACTACTAGGTGTAAGTGGTTCATCTTTCATTTCTAATTCATTATCTTCTATACCGAAATCTTCCTGGAATTGTTCATAATCTATATTTTTATCAGGTAATGTTTCAGGAATATTTGTAGAGTCATTTAAATTACTACCAGATGCTGAAGTACTACCTCTTTTTTTATTTTCCCGATTAGTAACCTTATTACAAACTCTTTTTGCAGCATTAAACATATTGTAAAAACTTAACTACTAGCAACAATTAAATATGCAAATAAAATAGTAAATAAGAGAAAGAGTTGGAGGGAGTGCACCGAATTTGGCAATAAATTGAGCACTTGATGATTTCGCAACTCCAATGTTACCACGAAGAAACGTCAATTGTTCCAATTTTGAAGTTCAATTGTTCAAACTTCAAATACTAAATACTACGATAAATTAAATTCCCAAAAAAAAAGAAGAGCCAAATAGTTGATTGCACTTTAGGTGAAGATTGAAGAATGAGAGAATATGAGAATTGAGATTGAGAAATGAGAGATGAGTGAAGAAATGAAGAAGAAGGGGGTGTATTTATAGTTTTACAAAGGGTTAAATTTGTAATTACAAAAAGTGTTAATTTTTTTTTTAAAAAAGGCCCAAAAAGGGCTAATTGTGCAAATCAGCCGTTGGGCAACGGCTCCTTGGCAGGTGACCGTTGCCAACAGTAACCAAATAAGCCAAACAACATTTAAAAAAAAAAAAAAGAAACTAGCCGTTAACCGGTCTGGGTCAGTCTGGTTCGGGCCAAATTAACCGGTTCTACAGTATTTCTGTTGATCGGGTTTGACCGGTCCGGTTAACCGGTTGAAAATAGGTGAACGGACCGAACTCCCCTACCCCTTTAACCCAGCCCCACCCGGCCCGCTTGTACCGGTCCGGGCCAATTTCGGTTTTGACCGGTCTGGGCCGGTCCGGTTACGGTTAAACCCGGCCCGTTAGACGCCCTTAGCCTAATCTATGCTCTACACTGAAAAAAATATTGAAAATTAGTTACAATTTCAAAAGTAATAAAAATTTAGCCATTTTCCATGTAAAAATAAAAATAAAAATCAACATAATATGCTGTAGTTCGAATTTTCACATATGAGATATCAATATAATGTGCTGAAATTTCATAATATGTTTGAGTTCCAATAGAATATGCTTAAAAACGCACCATAATCCAGCATATTATGCTGGAACTTTTCGTATTTCAACTAGGATTTTTTTGTCTAAATTTTATCTCTGTATAAAATAAT